CAGCACCTGAATAGTCCCCTTCCTCCCTTATCAAGCCCAGCACTTCCCTTGTTGGGTTTTGTGGTGACTTGACCCTCATTACTGATCTAATGATGAGGACGGGAGGGAAATGTAGATTGTAAGAGAATTTTCCTGGAAGGAATTGGTTTACTCGATTGTGGATGTTGACTAGGCAAGGTCCAAATCTGTAGGGAAGTCTGTCAGGAAGGGTGGGCTGGAGGCTGTGTCAGAGCTGCTTCTTCATCAAAGAAGCCTCAGTTCTGTTTTTAAGGCCTTTCACCTGATTCATTCAGACCCTCCAACTTATCTAAGATAATCTCCTTTGATTAATTCAGCTGAGTTTATGGACTTTAACCACACCTACAAAACAACTTTACAAACGACCTAGATTAGGATTTGATTGAATAGAAGGGGATGGGGTTGACACATCAAAGACCATCACGCTACCCAACTGTCTTGTTGTTCAAACTTGCCTAGGGTGTAATATTAAGACTCTGAGTCTCCACTCATCCTGAGGAGGGGTCTACATCTGCCTCCACTTGATTCTGCACAGACTAGTGACGGTTTTGACCAAGAGTATGACGGGAGTGACGCTATGCGACGTCTGAGGCTGTGTCATAGTCAGCCATGGAGCTTCTCTAGTTCATAGGACACCTGCTCTTGGAGCGGGGAGCCACCTCTCAGCTGCCAGCTGAGCCCTTCATGCTGAAAAGGCCACATGAGGCACTCATCCTTAAGCCATCTCAGCCCAACCAGGAGACATATGAGTGAAAAAGACATCTTGGAAGTGGGCCCTCCCTGCCATCTAATCACCTCAACTGAGCCTCCAGGCACAATGGAGCAGAGGAGAGCCACGTCCACGGTTCCCCTTCCAAATTCCTTTCCCACTGAATCCAAGAACATAGTAGCAAAATGCTTATTCTTTAACATCATTAAGTTTTGGGGCAGTTTGCCAAGACAGCATTAGCTAATGGGAACACCTGGAATAATTTTTTATCCTTTTATTTTCATGCACTTTATGTATGTTTTGGGTCTCTTACAAACAACATGATGCTGGGTGTTGTTCTTTTTTCCAATCTGAGAGTGTCAGGATCAGATTCCTGAGGAGGGACTCAAAACCTTGAGCAGTGAATGGCTATGAGCAGTAAAGCCCGAACCAGCACTTTGGAGCTTTCTGCCTTAAGAGCCGCAGCTTCCCTGCCCATCCTTCCTCTAGGAACTCCGGCACCGCGTTTTCTCTGGTTGATTAGCGCGAGGCTCCATCTCCGCCCCTTATCCGGCTCCCCGTCTCCCAGATGCTGTAGCTCCCCGACCTCCCCCCAGTCGTGCTTCTGCCCAGGGAAACTTTATGGTTCCCTCAGAACGTAGCCGCTGGCAAGCAGATCCCCGTGATGGGTGGAGGAGGTTGCCATGGAGACGGGTCCACGGTCCGCGGCTGGGGCGGGGAGGCCTGGGCACATGCGCAGTGGCGCCGAGGCGAGGTCGCGGGGAAGTCGGGGCGCGGTGGGTTCCGGGCCGGGCTTCCCAGGACCAGGCTGGACAGCCGGCTCCGGCCGAGGCGCCGTGCCCTCCGGGGCGGGACGTGGCGGGGCCGAGACCCCGCGGCAGCGCGGGAGCGAGCCCGCCACGCAGGCCCCGCGCCCGCCGCCATTGTTGCCCGGGGCCTCTCGGGCCGCTCGGCTGCGCGTCCGTAGGTCTGGCTGCAGGTGAGGATGTCGCGGGCGGCCTGCGGGGTGGACGCTGCGGGGCAGTCCCGGCGCAGCGGCCCGCGGCCCTGCGGCTGCGGAGTTAGGGAGACCCGCCTAGGGCCCAGGGGAGGCAGGGGGCGCGTCCGCCCTGCAGGCCTGGGGAGCAGCCGGCTTCAGAGGACTCGACGGGGTGGAGGAGGGATCGGAGCCGGAGCCCTTGGACCAGTGGTGTCGGTTCTCCTCCAGACCAGGCATGCAAAAGAGGTTTTCTTTGGGAATCCTGTTTTCAAATGTATTCATGAGGAATTGTGTCCTGCAGAAGATCTTCAGAGACTTCACCCCGCACCGGTCTCTTCTGCCTGTTTCCAGCCCAAGCTCTCAGGGAGTGGAGACCTGGGACAGGCTGGCGTTAATGTCCAAAGAGCATCAGCGGCTCGCCCTCAGTTCTTGACCGTTTCCCTTGGGAACCTTGAGCACTTAAAGGAGAAGAAATTCTCCTCCCAGTTTGTTCTGAGTAACAGATTTGCTCTGTTGTCTCTGAGAACCAGTTCAGTCATTAAAGCTTCTGTATAATCTGTTGACTAAAATATTTTGTGTAAACGAATGTTTAATTTCTGTTTCAACAAGTTAGAAGTTTTATCTGACATTTTGCCCAGGGTTCAAGTCTTTGCTTCTACCCCC